CAGCGTTGACCGAGCTATGTTGTCGTTGACCGAAGACACAAAGGCAAAAAGTCCACAACAGAATGGAATGGCATAACAGATGAACAATACTCCATTAGAAAAGGTGCGTTGTATGCTTGCTCAATCCAGTTTAGGCAAGCAATTGAATGAAGCTGTGACATATGCAAGCCACCTTATCAACCGTCTGCCGACTGTTGCAAATGAAGGAAGAACATCTTTGAAGGTATGGTTCGGCAGTCATACTAACGACTATGATCAATTGCATACATTTGGTAGTCCGACTTACAATCATGTGCAGGAAAGTAAACTTGATCCTAGAGCCAAGAAATAAGTATTCTTGGGCTTTAGTCGTGAAGTAAAAGGGTACATGCTTTGGTGCCTTAAATTGAAGAAGGTCATAGCTAGTTGAGATGTCACATTTAGTGAGTCTGAAATGCTTAAGCAACTTAAGCCTGAAGACTCTAGCGAACAGAACAAAGCCATTGGAACGCAACAAGTGGAGTTTGATGCACTAGTATACTTAAAAGAACAAATTGAAGAAGGTGCAATTGAAGAAGAACCAGTCACGGCAATATCGTAGCAATCAGAGTCTATTGCTACGAGGAAGTCGAATAGAGAGACCAGAAAACCAGCCAGATACGTGAATATGGTATCTTATGCATTTCCAGTAGTTGGGAATGATAATCTCAACAACTGAAGCAACCAAGAAGAACCCCGAGCAAGAAAAGCTAGATGAAGAAGAAGTACAGAATCTGCACAAGAACAAGACTTGGGGTTTGATACAATTACCAAACAAAAAGAAGAAAATCGGTTGCAAATGGAAATTCACCAATAAGAATGGTGATTTGAAAGAAAAAATTTTCTTATCTCAACCTGAAAGGTTTTGAGTAGTTGGAAAGGAAAATTTCATTTGGAAGAAGAAATCTCTCTACAGAATGAAGCAATCACCACGACAGTGGTATGATCGGTCTGATCATTTTTCGGTTACACAGAAGAAGACTCTTGGTATAGAGAATCCCCAAGATAGGGTTAGGGTCAAAAGCACAGTGCATCTCTCCTAGCAGAAGAAAATCAATAGAAGAAGAACAGAACTGAAGTTAAGTTCATATAGTGTATGAACTTAATCCATTTGGAGCAAATGTAAGCACCTTCGGGTGCATGGCAACGTTGATTTCTCACTATATACTTTGGATGGAGAACTTTCCCCAAGGTGGAGAATTGTGAGGAAGTTAGCTTCAACTTTTCTATCAAGAAAAAAGAAGAAAAGAGAAGATTGGCTTCTCTGCTTGAAGAAGACTAGAAGGATCAAGATGGAAGCTCTTGCCACTATAGATGAATGTGCCCTTTGTCGAAAGAAAGGACACTAAAAAGCTGATTGTCCAAAAAATAATGACAATGAGACATCTATAGTCAACCTTGCTCAAGAGAATGAAGATTCAAATTGTGTTTGTATTTCTTTATTGTGTTTGTGTCATTCTGATAAATGGATTATGGATTCTGGATGTAGTTTCCACATGTGTCCTAACCGAGACTGGTTTTCTGACTTTGAGAAGTCAGATAGTGAAACAATTCTTATGGGTAACGACGACGCTTGTAAGACAATGGGAAGAGAAAGCATCCACTTGAAGATGCATGATGGAACAGTTTGAGCTCTGAAAGAAGTGCAGTATATACCAAAATTGAAGAAGAATCTCATCTCGCTGGGCGCTTTAGCATCCAAAGGTTTCAACACTACCTTGGAAAGTAGAGATCTCGTAATAGTATTGGGCACTCGAGTTATCATGAAAGGAAACAAGAAGAAGAATTTGTACTTCATGCAAGGGAGTACAGTTGTAGGTGAAGTAGCCACTAACAGTAGAAAGAATGAAAAAGTTGATAAAGTTGACACAAATTGCACGAAGAATAAAGTCAAGTTCAAGACAACAGTACATTGTACGGAAGAAAAGATGGACAATGTGCATACTAATGTATAGGGGCCTTCCAGAGTTACATCAAAAGAAAGTAAGCACTAGTTTGTCACATCTATTGAAGAATATTCTCATCGTGTTTGGGTGTACACTATGAAGCATTAGAATGAAGTTGTGAACATCTTCACAATATGGAAGAAGATGATGGAAAACCAGACTGGCAGAAAATTGAAGACCTTAAGATCAGACAATTGTGGAGAGAACATTACTGATCCGTTAAAGGAACTCAGTCAAAAAGAAGGTATAGTATATCACATCACTGAAAGGCAAAGTCCACAACAGAATGGAATGGCATAACAGATGAACAATACAGTGTCCTCTACAACGTTATGACACCACCATCCAGTGTCTTCACCAATGGTCAGCGGAAGAAAACCATTTTGAATTGAAGCTCTTGAAGGTCAACAATGGAGGCACCTTGAAGCTTCCCGAACGCGTTCGAAACGCGGTGTTTTGACGTCACCGCTTGCGCATCTCATTCTCAGAGGAAACTTATAAATAGATAGGTAATGAATTGTATTTGGTATGCAAACATTGAATTGAAGAAGAAGAGAGTGGGGAGGAAACACGAGTGAATTGTAATCTCTCCAAATATGCAGAATTCCACTGCCCGTGGACGTAAACAATTGCCGAACCACGTAAAATCTGTGTGTTTCTCTCTAGTGCGTGTTTGTTTGCATGAATTTGTGGCTCTCTGGCCTAACATCTGATGAAATGAATTTTCTGCATAACTCTTCTAAATTGTTGGGATTACGAGATAAACGGTTTAAATTGTTAATATGAGCCTAAAATAGAGCCCAAAAATAAAATATGGAGGAATATGAAAGAAAATAGTATGGAATGGAAGGGAGCCATTCCCGGTTGAAAATATAATTTTGATTAAATTACACTTTTCACTTTTGTATAGTTTGAAGGGATATTCATTTTCTCCAGTTTCGCTCTGTCGCACCTGGGTTTTTCCTGCCCCATTGAAGAAGTGTAGTAGGGATAGGTTTTACTTCCTTCACCCCAATTATATTTATTAAATATATTTATAAATACTATATAATTTAATTTTTTTTCACCATAATCAAATTAAAATACTAAAATATTATACTTACTATTTAGGAAAATTTACTTATAAATCCCATCTTGAGGAATAGTAATCCATTTAGTCTCATAGATTTTTTTATAAACTAATTAGTGTCATTGATTTTGAAAAAGTAGATTTAATATATTGTTTGGAAATTAGATTTATAATTATACCCTTATTTCTATATATATATATATATATATTTTTTTTTTTTGGTGCTAAAAAGGTAAGATACACAATCTCTGGGAATCAAATTTGGGATAATTTTTTTTTTTTTTTATAAACTAATTAGTCTCATTGATTTTGAAAAGGTAGATTTAATATATTGTTTGGAAATTAGATTTATAATTATGCCCTTATTTCTATATATATATATATATTTGTTTTTTTGGTGCTAAAAAGGTAAGATACACAATCTCTGGGAATCAAATTTGGGATAATTTTTTTTATGAAAATCTTTTTTATTTGGAAAACATTTCAAAAGGAGTATAAAAATGACTTGAAATATAAGATTTTTCAAATATTCTAAAAGGATATGGGATTCTTCAAACATCTCAAAAGGAGTACAAAAACTCCTTAGTAAGTTTTAGGCAAATATATAATTTCAAACTATAACACTCCAATGTAACATTCAAACGTAACACTTCAAAAAAAACTCCTTAGTGTAATACTCTAATGTAACACACAAAAAAACTTCTTGGTGTATTTTTTTTCAAATGTAACACTCCAATATAACACTCTAAAAAACGTATGTGGGATTCTTCAAACCATTTCAAAAGGAGTGCAAAAATTCATTACTAAACTTTAGACAAATGTGTAGTGTTACGTTTGAAAAAAGTACGCCAAAATTTGTGTGTGTGTTGTATTGAAATGTTACGTTTGGAAAAAATACACTAAGAAATTTTTTGTTACGTTTAGGAAAAGTACAGTAAGGAATTTTTTAGTGTGTTACATTAGAGTGTTACGTTATTGGAGTGTTACATTGGAGTATTACATTTTTGTTCGTAATGCGATATTTGTTCCAGAAGGAGGAAAAATTCAAAACCTTAATAGTGCAAATTGCTTAAATGTGTAATTTCACATTTGAGAAACCCACTTTTATCCCTGAAAATTAAACTCAAATGTGTAAATGACTACTATTTTGTGTAATTTCCGCTTTAATGAGACTTTTATGTTCATGAGAAAAAAAAAATAAGGATTAAACAGTTCACAAGATCACATTTTGGGATTTATTGGTGCTTCATCCTAATATTTATTTTTTATTTTATATCTTATAATTTTCATTAAATATAAATTATTATCCATAATATATTATATTTTCTATAATTTTTATTGATATTTTCATTTTTCAACTTACAAATTAATCCATCTTCTGCTCTGCACTCAACCCGCCACTGTCAACCACCGATTTGCCCTCAATGTGATACGGGGTGGGAACGAATTATTACAAACCCATCCAAAATTCGACCAAGGACCATCCCTAAGTTTGATAATTCGAATAGCACTTTATTTCAATGTTAATCATAAATTTTAAGTCTGATTTTGATTTGATTTTTTATTTAAATTATTGTCAATTTTTGTGTACATGTCCTTTTCAAGGAGTAACACTTGTTAAAAAATCATACATTTTAAACTGTCTAAAGGAGTTTTGCAAATCTTTTTAGTGGAATTTTTTTTAAGAACTTTGGTATTAAGATTTTATAGATAAATGTCATATAATATTTTTATAATAGTTGTAGTCCCTCAACATTTTCATAGAGAAATTTCATCGAGAGACCTTAACTAATAAAAAAACATATTAGACCTCTCCTACTATCCAAAGTTGGAGATAGATGTTTTACTAATTTTTCCATCTTTTTATGCAGATTTTATTATTAATAATATTCTTATGATTATTTTATTAGACTAATCAATTTTTATTTTATTTTATTTATTGTGACAATAATGTGCTATGTGAACAGATGGAATAGCTGGAACCACTTCCAATGTAACATTGAAGAGAAACTAATTAAGCAAACAGGTAACTTCAATTAAATTTTTGTTATTGAAATTTTTTATAGAGAACTATTGAGTTATTAACCAACAAATATCTGATAAAACCCCCCAAAAAAAATGTTTATATAAAATTTTAATTCGAAATTGGTGTTGTTATTCTCCCTTTTTTAAAATAGCCGATGCAATGGTGTCAACGGGGCTGGCTGATTTGGGATACAAATATATAAATTTAGGTAAGATTATAGTTTAGAATTACAATGCAAGAGGCTGGAAATCAGGTTATTTCTATTTTAATTAATTAATTAATTGTTTATTTATTTTGGTTGTAGATGATTGTTGGGGTGAGCTCAATAGGGATTCTGAGGTACTCTCTATATTTCTTTTTCATTAGTGATAATCTCTTTGTTTTTGTTTTGTGTTTTGTACTCTGCCTCTCAATAATTAAATCGTTCATCTTCTATGATTGCAATCAATAAATACAAAAATTCAGATTAATTGAATAACCATAATTACATGATGAGGTCACATTTATCTTCTAAATATGGATTATTCTATCATCAAATCGTATTTGTCATCTATTATTTTGAAAATAAATATAATTTAATCATGTAATTACAGTTATTCAATCAATTTAAATTTTTACACAAATAGAATCTTATAAGATGATATTTTTGAATCAAGATGGGTTCATGTTGCGTCACGAAGCCCAACAACAACGTCAGGAAATCCAACTAGAGACAAACTTGTTCCTATATTTTATAATGGATATTGTGTTACCTTTTTTTTTTTTAATTGGAAATTGTAACAATGGTATTAGGGGAATTTGGTTCCAAAAGCTTCAACATTTCCCCATGGAATTAAAGCTCTCGCAGATTATGTTCATAGCAAAGGCTTGAAGCTGGGAATATATTCTGATGCTGGGTATTCCCTCTCTCTCTTTCTCTCTATATTATATATAGGTGAATTAAAATTTTAGTTCTCAAATTTTTTATTTATTTTTTTTCATTTAGATTCCTAAAATGTGCTATTTGTTACACTTTAGTAGCTCACATTAGTGTCGTTCAAAATCAATAACATGAGGAGAGGTATTTTCGAAACTCTATGAAAAAAATACAAAAAAAAAAAAAATGAAAAGATTATGAACTAAAATTCAATAAATCGCATACTTTGGGAACTAACTTCCCACAAAATGTATATTTTGAGGACCACATATGTATTTGGTCTTTTTGATTTTGTTGAAACTTCGTGTAAAATTCTGAAATATCCCTCCTTTCGTTACTTATTTGAACGGTGTTGACACCAAGGACTAAAGTGTAGCAGATTGCATATTTTGAGGATAGTTAGTGTAATTAACCCTGATTGTTTTTTTTTTTTTTTTCTAAATAATTATTCTTTGAAAATACTTGAAGAAAATTAAAAATGTGATTGTCTCAATAGAAAATGTAGTCTAGTTGGAATATAATTTGAATTTGCAGACATATTAACTTGCACTATTTTATTTCTCATTTTCTTTTGTAGAACTCAAACATGCAGTAAAACCATGCCTGGATCTCTAGGACATGAAGAACAAGATGCAAAAACTTTTGCCTCCTGGGTATGTTTACTTATTACAATTGTTACATTTGAATATAATTGTTACATTATATAGGGATGAACCCATGATTCAAACATGGGGTTAAAAGTGAAAGAAATATAATATATATATATATATATTTTGTATTCACAATGAGTTACAATAGATAGCAAATGTACTAAAGTGAGACATTTTGACTTGTGCTCAATACTCTTTTATGTCATTTTGACCTGGGCAGTGTTAAGATTATGGATTTAGGTAGAGATTTGAAAATAAAAAAGAAAAAAATTATCGAAATCTATAATCTAAGCACAGTCCAAAGACATCCATGATATAATCGACATTAAAGTCTTTTCTCAATAAATGTGATCAAGAAACTTGTTAATTCCCACAACACTAGTTATCATATTTTGTCTAATTTTGTAATTTAACATCATGTTTTAATCACGAGTTTAGTGGTTACCTACCTCTGAGCTTCGAACGAAGAGAGGAGATGAAGAAATTAGGGTTTTGATGGAGAAGATAAGGACACTTTAGTAATTTTATTTTAGGACAAAACTGTAATAAAAAAATAAATCATTAAGTGTGTGCACAGAGGTAGGTAAGTGTGTGAAAATAGAATTACCCAAAATCTTGACCTACTAATTTTGAGGTTATAAGTTCAAGTTTGAGAACAGTCACTTTGTGCCTTTATGCCAAAGGATATGTATGTATATGTAGCCAATTTAATTCCTCTCAAACACCCATTAATTAATGATTACAATTGGGCTTCATTCTTCTTTTTTCTTTGTTCTTTTGTTTTTTCTTACACCCCATGTTTCATAAATATTGAGGGACCGCTTAATTTTTTTTAGAAGAAAAACTTAAAAAGGATGCCTACTTATAAGTTTTTTTTCAATAAAATATAGAGAGAACGAGCTTGGATAATTTGGAAATATTTAGTAATTAATACTAATATAAAAAGGAAATTTTAAAAAATTAGAGTGGGGTCATAGCTGTCAATGCCCCTCTAAGTCCATCCTTTAGAGTCGAGTGAAGTTGTTTAATTTATATGTTTTATCTCATGATTGATAGTAATTTTTATTAAATTATTTGTTAGTCCAATCTTCATTTATAATTTTTTTTTTTTTCATATATAGGGAATTGATTATTTGAAGTATGACAACTGTAATGACGATGGCACAAGTCCTAAGGAGAGGTACTGTCTCATTGTCGTCTTTTTGATCTTCTTCTACAACTTAACACCATAAAAGAAATAAATATTCATTACAACTCATGTTTTTTCCTTTGGTGATATAGGTATCCTAAGATGAGTAATGCTTTACTAAAATCTGGAAGGTCCATCTTCTTTTCTCTATGTGAATGGTGAGTTAAAAATGTTATTTTCCAATTGATGTTAATATCATATCTTCTTGTTGTGTGGAAAAAATCTGATCACTTTTGTTTTGACAAAGTTGATGAGTGCAAATTCCAATAATTGATTGTGATAATGGTGGTGTTGGTGTGGTGTAGTGGGGGTAGTGGGTCGTGGTGGTAGTATTAGCAGCAGTGGTGGTATGATGGTGTGGTATTAGTAAAATTTGTTTGAAAACGTTTTCTACCTTTAAAAGTGAAAAAAAAATTCTGTTCAAATAAATTCATTCTTCGTTATTCATAAAAAAAATATTTTTTATCATACTAAAAATGCCAAAAATATATAAAATACTTTGGATAAAATACACTAATATCTCCCTTAAAGTTTGGAGAAAATATAGTAATTCCCACAACTTTGACATAATTACATTGAGCTCCATTGTACTTTTAATTTATATAACACTTAGTCCCATTTTTATCAATAGCTTGTTAGTTATATGGATGAAAAAAATATTATTGTCATCTGTTTAACATGAAAATATATACTTGACATTGTTTATTTTTATATTTTCGCAATATCTGTATTAGTTTCGGTCTATTTAAACTTATTAAAAAAGATATAATGTAATTATATTAAAATTATAAGAATCAATATATTTCTTTTCAAATTTCAGAAAATGTCAGTGCAGTGTAATTTACCTAAATAGTTTTTACCAAAACAAAGGCATTGGGCTGGTTGAACCTTATGTTGAGTAGTTACCTAATTAGCTAGGACTAGTAGTTTTGAATATTTGTCATTGAAATGGTTATACATCTACATGGAGTAGCTAGCATAAATAAAGCAGTCTAAATTTTTTATTTATTTATGAACATATCATAACTAGGGGACGAGAAGATCCAGCAACTTGGGCACCAGCTATTGGAAATAGTTGGAGAACAACTGGTGACATTTCTGATAACTGGAATAGGTGAGTAACATTAAAATGTGACTTATATATATAATTTGGATAGTTTTATATGCACACTAGAGAAAATTTTAATATATATTATTTGTGTCGTTTGGATATAGATTTATGAACAAAAATAAACTATTCAGATATACATTCGGTTCAATAGTTCACATTCAAATGATATAAATAGTATATACTGAGATTTTTTGTGATTTGTGAATAAAATCTCCTATAAGACTTTCATAGTAGTTGGTTTTTCTGTGGCTGCAACTTCATGTTATTTTCAAGTCTTATTTTTGTCTTTACAGTTGGTTTGACAATTGCTTCTCACTTATTTTTTTATTGTTTTAGAATAAAGTTGTTAAAAAAGCAAATGCATTTAGTAAATTTAAAATAAAAATTATTGAAAAAAGTTGAGTGGATCTTGGTTAATTTTTTTTAATCAAAAACAAATAAGTAACCCTTTTTTTTTTCTTTTTTTTTGGGCTTCTTTATCCAAAATGTAGCTAATTTATTACAAACCAGACACAAATATGTTTGGTTTGGATTTGTAGTGTGATTTTGGGAAAAAATTTCTAAAAAATTTGTTTGGTTTGTAAATTTTTCAAAACAATTTTCAAAATCACTTGCTCTTTCTTACCTATCAATCAATCATTTTTTCTCTCTCCTCTCTCATTTTCAATCACTTTTTCTCTCACACACATCTACTTAATTATAACAAAATATTAAATCATTCCAAACTCCCAAACTCTAAAACTACATTCAAAATATACAACCAAACAAATCAAAAAAATTTCTAAACTCTCTCCCCAAAATAATTTTTAAAAAGTACTCTCCCAAAACCAAACCAAACATACACATTTTTAAGAATTTTGTTTCAACTTTGAATCAAAATATGTCACTTTTTAGATTCGTCTAGACTAAATAATTCTATATATTTTTAAAATTTTGAAAAAGGTTAGAAATGAAAAAATAAGACAATTTTTGTAAATTCTTTTGGATAAAATTTGACTTATTTAAATCTTTAATAATTTTTAAAATTTTAATGATGGTGAAGTCAAAACTGACTTAAAAATAAAAAATTTGACAGATTTTTAGAGAAAATGTCACTGAAAACAAAAATAAATATAAAAGTCACCTTATAAGCTGATAACAAAGGGAGTCTAACTATCATAATTGCCAAGTTGGTAATGAAAATTCAATCATACTAAATGGATAGTTTTGATCAATTATCTAATGCAAGTTTTTTTTTTTTAATTTCTTTTATTGCTAGTATGACCTCTCGTGCAGATCAAAATGACAAATGGGCATCATATGCTGGGCCTGGTGGATGGAATGGTAACATAATTTTTTAGATAATTGTTTTGATATTTTTATTTTTTGAAAAATAATTTACAACTGTAAAGATTATACAAAAAAACACATTGATAATTATGTGTTAATGGAATTTTTAAAATTATCAGAATAATAATGATTATTTTGATAAAAAATTAAAGAACCATATGAAATCACGTCATTATGTATAAAATTATGTTATTTTATTTACTTACAGATCCAGACATGTTAGAAGTTGGAAACGGAGGCATGACGATAGCAGAATATCGTTCACATTTCAGCATATGGGCATTAGCAAAGGTATATATATATATCATATGCTTCGCTAATTTTATTCATCTTAAAAATATTATAATATATAGATATTAGATATAGACACACATTACGTATGGATAGAGTTTTCCTGTACATATTATACAAATAGAAAATTTATATAAAATTTTCATCTAATAATGATCTTTCACTCTAAAACAAAACATCCATAACATGACTTATATTTACAACAATGCTGATGTCACATTATTCTTGTGTTTTTTTTTTTTTTTAACAAATGAATTTTATGTATTGATGGTAGGATTTTCTATAGACACACACATATTATATTATATTATATTATACATGCTAAAATTAAGAATAATTATCATTTAGTCCTTTTAATTTTGATATAGTTTTGAGGGTAATCATTTAATAAGTGCTCTTGAAAAATGCACGAGCGCACACACAAAAGATGAATTTTTTTAAAAATAAGAGATACTTCTTAATAAATTTAATGTATTTTTACTGAAATAAATGTACTTTGTAACTATTTTTTTAAGCATTTTTCAAAACAGAAATGCTAGAGATTCCAAAAAAAAATTATCAAAAATTCTATGTGAGACCCACATTGTGTAAAAATATATATATAATTCTTTTGAGATACTTACCATAGTTTTTTTTCCATAGACCTTTTATGTCAATCATAATAGTAAATAATACGCATGAGATATTTATTAATATCTAACTAGTTTTAAATTTATTGTTCAAATTTTAATTATTTTATTTTAAGATGTTCAATTTTTCACTAGATTAGATATCATAATAATGTGAAGTTCAATATTTTGAGAGTGATAGGCTCCTCTGTTGATTGGGTGTGATATTCGAGCAATAGACAATGTGACCTTGGGATTGCTTAGCAACAACGAAGTTATTGCCGTGAATCAAGGTACAATTAGAGCAACTCTACTTCTATTTCTTATTTTTTGTTAATTAAAGTACAAAAAAATTACTTTTTAACATAACTCTTTATTTTACTTATTTATTCATATAAATTGATTAAAGAGTCTTTCAATACTTAACTAACCTAGAAGTAGCTAGTCAATCCATTGGAACGAGTATAAAATAGGATGAAATTAGTTACAATAATCAACACCTCTTTTAAAGAGCTGGTTGGATATGTTTCTACAACTTTCAAATTAACACATTCCCTAATACATAAGGGTAAATTACACTTTGCACCCCTGCACTTTACCCTAAATCTCACTTTGGTCACTTCATTTTCAATTGTAACATTCAACTCCCCACACTTTCGGTCAAGTTTCACTTTGGACCTTCCATTAGTCTGGTGTTAAATCTGTTAATGGAAATTAGGATAAATTACACTTTGCACCTCTACACTTTACATAAAATCTCACTTTAGTCCCTTATTTTCAATTGTAACAACCAATTAATTACATTTTTTATCAAGTTGTAATGTGGTCGTTTCGTTAGTTTAGTGTTAAATTACTTAACAAATTGTCACATAACCCTCATATGAGTTAGTAATTTTCTTCATTTTTTTTTTTCTTCTTTAATTTTTACTGTATTTTCTAAATCCATCACATTAATCAACTCTTGCTACTTTTCCATTTTTTTTTCTCAGAACCTTCCACCTAAGGTGAAAGAAAAACCGACCAAACTAGTCAAAATGGTCAGTTTTGGTCAGTTTTTAAACAACTGATGGCCAGTTTGGTTTTGAAAATTCAAAACAAAATATTTTCAGTACGCTTTTGGTTTTACTACTTTTCAAACCAAATAAAACCGAAACCAATTGAATTTTTTTACTTTCTTAGAGTTCACAATACACACATGTACACTAATCAAATCTATAAATTAATGGAGTTGGGGTAGCACAGCAGGCACTGCTGTGTGGCTTTATGAGTTTATTTCGGGGTCTGTTTTGATAATTCGAATCGTTCATATTTTAGAATACATCAATTAAAACATACTTGTAAAAAATTAAGTTAATCGGATATCGTTAACCCTTTCATCTATTCACATTTGTATTTATTTTAATACTTTAAATCACAATTTCATTTATTTTTGAAGATACAAATATGAGTGGATGAAAGGGTTAACGATATCCGATTAACTTAATTGTTTACAGATATATTTTACTCGATATATTCTAAAATGTAAACGTTCGAATTATCAAAACGGACTCCAAAATAAGCCCATAAGGCCGCACAGCCGTACCTGCTATGCTGGGTGAACACCAGGCACCCCAAATCTTAAATTAGTAACTTTTTATTACATATTCTAGTGACTGCTTGTGGAATTTAATTTTATTGAATAGATTTATATTAATTTGGGTTTGGTTTTGCTCAACGTTTTTTATTTTTATTTTGTTTGACATATTTATATGAAAAATGCTTGGGAGCTCTAATTAGAGCCACCACTAATGATGTGGTAGTGGGTCCCACCCACTGCCACAATGTATGTTGTGCCTTATTTTTTTTATTTTTTTAATTTCCACATCACTAGTGATGGATTTAGAATTTAGAGCTCCTTATTTAGAGCTCTAAATCATTTCTGTATTTATATTTTAAAAATATTTGAGACCTTTAAATGAGGAACTCTATAAAGAGCTCTAGAGGTAAGCCCTACTTATAATTTGATGTTTTGACTTGTGATGTTGTAATTTTTTATTTATTTATTTTTTTTATATATTGTCACGTCACTAGAGTTGGCATTAGAGCTCCAACTCTAATGCGTTCTATCATCACTGGTCATTGCTGGAAAGTATTGTGTGCTAGTGATTTTAACCTCAAATTAAGGCCCAACTGAATTTACCGCACCAAACCGAGCCCAATTGATACTAATAGTTTCGTTTGGTTTTAAAACACCAACGGTTTATTTTGATTTTATAAATTAGCAAACCGATAAATTCGGTTTGGTTTATTCTGATTTGATAAATTAGCGAACCGATAAATTCGGTTTGGTGTTAAATTGTCCATAAAAACCGACCAAATTAAACCATGAACACCCCTACTTCCACCTATTTTCCACCACCTCCATATAGCAAAGAAAAAAATATTATGAAATAATAAATAAGTAGAAAAGAGAAGAAATTTACATTTTTATAATTTGACTAAAAGTGCAATAGCTTAATTGTTATAAATGAAAAATGCGGGACTAAAATGAGATTTGATGTAAAGTGTAAGGGTGCAAAGTGTAATTTACTCTAATTTTTGTTAACAGATTTAACACCAAACTAACGGAAGGACCAAAGTAAAATTTGACCAAACGTGCAGAGGGTTGACCATTACAATTGAAAATGAAAGGGCTAAAGTGAGATTTAATGCAAAGTGCAAAATGTAATTTACCCAATACATAAATAATGTTTTTATTTTTATTTTTTTCTTAACGTTTTGTATCATTTCATTTATTTTGTCTCACTGTCTACATGAATATTTATAATCAGTTCCCTCCTTTGGAAATAGTTATTAAGTAATTAATTAAAATAAATAAAATCTTGTCAAATATCACAGTGATATAAAATGATAAAAAAGAGATATATATATATATATATATAACAGTTGTCTAATATAAATAATACATCTTTTAAAAATAAAAATAAACATTGTATGCAGATAAGCTTGGAGTTCAAGGTAAAAAGGTAAAGAAAGATGGCGATTTGGAGGTAACATCCAACTCTTAATTGTCTTCCTTTTCTTTTATTTTTCTTTATTTTTAGGATAAATTACACAAATAGCATTTAAAGTATACCATTGATATCATTTTGATCCTTTATCTTTAATTTAATTTGTATCAATTATATTCTTAAATTTCAAAAATTAATTCTTTACCTTGCCCCAAGTGTCATCAAAAAAACATATAAACAAAATACTTACATCAAGATCACACCATTCATTGAAAGAAATTAATAAATTTGGTTCACTGGACAAGATGAAATTGAATGGAATGACCATTCGATAGGCTCTTTTATAGAATGATCAAGTATTACAAATCAAAGAAATTTCTATATTTTTTTATTTTTTATTTTTTCTTTGTAAATAATATACATTTCAAATGTCTCGTGGTTCATTTTAGTAGAAATTGAAATAAATTCCTTTTATTGTCTTTCAAATACCTAATATGAGGCTACCATAATCATTTTTCATTTGTTTTTTAAAATAAATTCCTCTTATTGTCTTTTAAATACCTAATATGAGGCTACCGTAATCATCTTTCATATGTTTTTTAAACGACAGTAGAGTAGAAGACTAAATTAAATTATTAATGTGTTAAATTTAATAATGCCATTGATAAAAGCTAAATGTTAGAGACTAAAGTAAAATCAGTGAAATACTTTCGCTCCTTTGATATCAGTTACAAGTCAACTTTTGTAATTATAACATTTTATAGTATGCGCGTAATAGTTTTAAAATAATTTGAAACAATTTGTTTGGTGGGGCTTTTGGTTAAATAGGTTAGTCACCAAACTTTTTTTGTTATGTAAATATCTAAAATACTCTCAGGGTGTGTTTGTTTTGAAGGATTAGGGTGTGGGATTGGACTATTAGTCTCACCGGACTAATAATCTATTGTTTGTTTCAATTTTTTTGCTCTGGACTAATAGTCTCCCGGACTATTAGTCTCATATTTGTGGGACTATCCTATTCCATTGGAGGGGGGGATTATTTCTATGGGATTAGGGTCTGAAATGTCCATTTTACCCCTATGCTATTACTTAGCAAACATTTAGAAAATGGTAAAATAGTCTTTTGAACATTTATAAATTATTTTTTTAGTGTTGTTAATTTAAAATTATATATTACATAAAAAATTTAAATTATAAATTATAAATTTAATTTAATTAAAAATAATAAATTAAAAATTATGGCCTTATAAATTAAATTTTTTTAGTGTTGTTAAAAAATTAAATTTACATATTTCTCTAAAATTATTTTTTTAGTGTTGTTAATTTAAAATTATATATTAAATAAAAAATTTAAAAATTATATATTAAATAAAAAATATAAATTATAAATTATAAATTTAATTTAATTTAATTGAAAATAATAAATTAAAAATTATGGCCTTATAAATTAAATCTTTTTAGTGTTGTTAAATTATAAATTATAAATTATAGATTAGAAATTTAAAATTATATATTAAATAAAAATTATAAATTACAAGGGTAAAATAGTCTTTTGAACATTTATCCTTATCCAGTCCGTCTAACCAAATATTGGATTCACTAAAAATAGTCTAATCCAGACATATAATCCCATGACTAAACAAAATACAAATCCAATCCAACCAAATAGTCCGGGGATAATGTATCCCGGGACTAACAGTCTGATGGATTACAATCCCTTTTTATCCAGTCTGTCCAAACAAACACACCCTCAAGTTATAATTATTATTTTTTTTTTTTGGGGGGGGGGATTATTTTGTCCATACCTATTTAACTTAAATAAACAAAAACAAACGACAACAAATAAAAACCCTACAAATTCTATCTTAAAAAAAATCTCACTATCTAAATAAATAAATTAAAAAATTCAAATTAAAAATTGACTTATAAGTGCTACCAAATGAGAGCTTTAAAGATTGCTCGGGTAATTTATCATTATTTTTATAATTAAACTCGTAATACCCAAAAAACAAAATTGCAGGTTTGGGCGGGTCCCCTTAATCATAAGAAAGTGGCAGTGATCCTATGGAACAGAGGACCTTCGACAGCTACCATCACTGCTCACTGGTTTGATATTGGCCTTACTCGAACAACCATTGTTAATGCACGAGATTTATGGAAGGTAATTAATATTAATAACTTAGATTACTACTATTTTAAAACATGGAGGTTAATTGTACTAATACTTCTCAAAAGTATGTGATCAGTTAATACTCTAGTCTCTGATCTTTTATTTTTTTATTTTATTCCCAAAAATATGCTATGTTATTTTTTAGTTCTTGACATTAACACCGTTCAAAATCAATTATAAGAGAAATATTTTTGAAACTTAAAAAACAAAAACAAAAACAAAATTCATACTATGGGCACATGTATTTAGTTCTTTTGACTTTGCTAAGGTTTCATGAAAATTCCAAAAATAACTCATTTCGTTATAGATTTTGAACCACACTAATATCAATATTGAAACATAATAGATAATACTTAGGGACCAAAGTGAAAAAATTAAAAGAATGAGAATTAGTAATTAACCCTTGTCGTTTCCATTATTTTTTTATCATTTACTCGTCTATTTTTTTTCTTTGTCTTTTTCTTTGTTTTTGGGAATTGGACAGCATTCAACCAAAAAATCAGTCAAGGGACAACTCTCTGCTGACGTGGCTTCTCATGACTGCAAAATGTATGTACTAACCCCACAATGAAAATGTCGAGTGTGTTCTTGGAAGGAAAGTAATGATATGATCTATCTCCATCTACAAGACATACTGATGGAATGTTAAAATTGACGAGTAATAGTATTTGTTGCTTACATTTACAATTGAAATAAATAAAAAATGAACAAAAATCCATATGGATCTTGTTTATGATACGATTAATTAATGACAAGTCTTTTCTGTAACAATTCTTCCATTTGTATAGAAATCAATTACAGAACTAAACACAACCTCGCATGAACAACCTCGTGTGAAAAGGTTGTGTCCGGTTACGCAATTGGTTTTTGTATTCCTTAACTACCTCATGTTGAGGAGGTTGTGTTCGATTTTATATTGTACCTTTTCTTTCTGTAAATGTGCATTAAGAAATCAACTTCAGCCAATGGCCTTGTAACCCAATGACATTTCACTCTCATGTAAGAGGTTGAGAGTTCAAACCTCGGCAGAGGTGCCGTTGAGTGTAACTGCTCAACTAGCGCCTATCTATTCTATTTGCCACCTGTTCCGAGTTCACCTCCCACGACTTAGCAAGTGCCCTCTCCCATCCCCTTGACAGTAATTTAGATATATACTATTAAGGGTGAACATGGTCCGGATTGGACCGGATTGAAGTAAAATCAGAACCAATCCGTTATCTACGGATCCCGAAAAATTAGAACCAATCCAATCCGTTTAAATCGTGGAACCAACCCGAACCAATCCATTTAAATACGGATTGGATCGGTTTAGGACCACGGATTTATATAATTAAATAACAAAAATATATAATATAACACTTTATTTTCATAAAAATATAAATATAGCACCATATTAGTTTCACAATAGCAATATGTCTTTTCATAATAGCGACAAATTGTTCTAGAATTTAAACAATCATAAAGAAATTAGTTCCACCATAAGTATTTAGACCATTACAAATTAACACTAAAAACTAACAAACAAAAGTAATAAAAGAAAATACTATGCAAGTTTAGGTTTAGATTTAAGTTTTATATAAAATAAGAGAAGATACTATGCAGGAGGGTATATAATAAAAATATAGACTATTTGTATACGGTCCGGATCGGTTCCAATCCGGAACCGTGGGATTCAATCCGGAACCAATCCGTGAACTACGGATTTTTAATTTTTCAATCCGAAACCGAACCACGGATTCAAAAAACCAATCCAAACCTACTAGATTGGACTGGACTGGATCGGATTACGGATTTCACGGATTCTTTACTCAGCCCTATATACTATATTTCAGACCCTCAATAAATATATATATATATATATTTACAAAAGAAAAAAAAAAATCAACTTCAGGCCTGTGAGGACCTGACAAGGTGTTTTCAAGGCCCAGGCCCAGGCCCAACTAACTTGGTATAATCAGCCGGCAAGGCCCAAACCCTAAAGGCTTGACACCAACACTCGGCAAAGTCTAACGCAAGGTTTGGCAATGCAAAAGCCCAGAATTATCCACCTAGGTCACTTTCAATCAGAGTAGGATAAGAATAGATATTTATCCAAAAACAATTAATTTGTTTCTGAAGCATAAGCATGTCTCACGACACACAGTTTCATCACTGTAATGCTATACACGTTGAGACATCACAAAAAATGAGAAGACTAACAGATCATATTGTTCAAGGTTTAATCTGCAAGATAATAATATAACCTTATGAAGTACCTATGCTATATAATCATAGAGTTTTGTTTCTATTGGTATACTGCACAACTACTCAGCAGCCACAGAAGGTAGAACCCCCTTCACCAATTGTGCTCTTTGTTCTTGAAGCTTCAATTGCCAAGCCTGCAAGAAAATGCATTTTCTACTTTGTTGTGATTTAACATTCAAATGAAGCTATAAATGTACAAGGGTATCCTAAGGCAACTAATCAGCAAATACCACAGTTATACACAATGTTACCATAATATGCCCTACTATATTATGGGTCTGTTTGGCGCAATTTTTCTCAAACTAAAATTAGATAATCTAAGAGCACAAGTTAAAAGCACCCCTCACCAAACACAATAGCACATATTTCCAAAAATACAAAAAGAAGTTGTAAGCAGCTCCAATAATTTGCACCAAACAAATGCAAATGGTTGTGCTAAGAGCACCAGAAGGCCGTAGGAATCGGAAAGAACAATAACTTCTTTGGTAGTCTTGGAAGGATCATATGGCAAATTTTTTTTATATATATTTTTATTTACTATGTATATGAACATGGATTCTAAAAAAATTAGAATATGGACATGGCGAGCATATGGCAAAAAAAATTATATATTTTTATTTACTGTGTATATGGATAAAAAATTTAAGGTATAGAGATATAAGAGACATCAATGTATATGTGGGTGTATTTTTATTTTTTCAACTTACTCCCCTCTTTGTTTTCATATATTTTACTTTGACCCCAAATTAACTTTCTAAAATAATTAAAATAACCCCACAAAAACTTCTCCTAGGGCATGTCCAAACACAAAACGCATGTCTATGAAGTGTCCCTAATGTGTCCTAGAAAAGAATTATAATTGAAAAAAAATGACACACCATTTGGCGTGTCCAGCACGTGGACAAGAGTGTCTATGGTGTGTCAGTGTCAGATAAGTGGCGAGCACAAACATGGACACCACCTATTTTGAAGTGTCCATGCACTCTAGTATGCAAGATATTTACATGAAGTTGTGGTGATGTTACCTTCCTAAAGGGAAACATGGGGGTTCTCCAACATAGCATCTTTATGTCCTCCCTTGGTTTGCTGACATATACAGAACAATTATGTTCACTAATATTGATTTACTAATTGAAGCATCAGCTAATACTTCAGCCAATAAGAAAAGGCACGACAATAGTATGATTCTAGGGTGTTCACAAAACAATGCATACCAATAAGAAAAGTCTTAGTGGTAGCAAGTTGGAAACAGCAGGATCGGTTTAATTCTTCACAAGCATACAAAGTCTACATGTATTTCCAGACATAGCATGAATGTTTAAGAAAAGAAAATAAATAATTGAGAAATAGGAGGATACAAAATTACATACCCATCCTCTTCCCTGGAGCAGTTAACTTGACGATCATTGGCACCCAAATATGCTTCAGTAGAATGCTTTCTGGGGATAGACAATGCAAGGTTGCTTTGTGGTTGGAACCTTGTAAAGGTACTCTGAAAAGTGTCCGATGACTGCATCTTTTTATGAAGCTTCAGAAATCCAGAGAAACAGCAGCTTGGCTGCTTCTCTGCCTCTTGAGCAAATATAGCCTGGCATTCGCATTTGCTTCTCTCTTCTCTGGAAGAATCAGCATCCACAGAATGCCTTGGAATGTGATCTGGTAATAATCCATGGGACATTGTCATTCCAATGCTTAGTGCATTTCCTTCATTGTTCCTTATAGTGCTTGCCGCTTCTTTTCTCTGACAGCAGTTCTGAGGGATTTGAGACCCACAATTGGAGGAACAAGTCTTGACATAGTTGTCCCTTATAATGGCTTTTTCACAGGTGACATCAGAATTATCTGACGGGTCACTTCCACGTCCCGTGGTGGACTGTGATTCATGGCGCATTCTGCGGGAACAACTGAACAAGCTGAAGGATAGTTTCTTCATTTTGGCATACTTTGTCACAGAAGCACAGTGCACAAGATAGATCCTCATCTCCACATTACAACCCAGTACAGACTGAAGGGCATTTGCAATCAATTTCCATGACTTCTCAGCCTTGTTTACATAGTCAGGATGATGAAATTCCAAATCAACCACTGCCATACCTGAGATATGGTCTATGAATTGGTCAAGAGCTTGTGAAAATAAGATGACTCACTTCAGATGCACAAAAGCCCAAAATGAACATTGATAAACAAAAAAAGAAGAAGAAGAATTAGCCTTGACAGGTGCATGCAATATATTTGCATTATTGGCCAAACCAAGGCATACATAGTTGATACAGAACTTAAAAAAAATGCAACAGCAAGTCAGCCAACTAATAACCAAATGCCACAGCATCCAAAATAAATTTGTTCTAACCTTAATAGCTATTTTAACACATTTATTTGAAGCCAGGAAGGTAAAATTGCGTAAGACTCATTCTATACATAAAAAAGCTCTATGTTAATTTGTAAACACTATTTACCCTAAATAAATGAAAGGGCAATTTAAGAAATATGAAATTTAGGTGTGTCCTGATGTCATTGAACATAGGAATTAAAAGAATTGACACTTCAACACATGCACACACCCGACACATGTACCTATGTCCATGTAACATAGTTCGCAATCTCCAAGGGCTTACCATTCCTACCCATTGCAACCTCCATGATACATCTCTCAAGATCTGACCTAGGAGAATGAATCACCCGTCTTGGAGTAAGATGCCTCCATAGTTCATCCGTCCTATACAAGGGCACCTGCCCCATGCAAGCAAGAACAAGCCAACAAGCCCAACACTAATCCCCCTTAGGCAAGCTCAGAAGCATTCTTATTAAATTGTTTGAACAAGGATGACAAAATACTAGACATGATTGCAGTTAATTACCAAGTGATGCCAATACATATCAAACAAATAATATAACAACAATTTGATGCCAATAATCACAGGTCATATATTTTTTCTATTAGTTTTCTCATTTTTGCTCATTTATTAATCAATCTTTTACTTCAGAAAAATTGCGGAAGATAATCATAGCATAGATGTGATTACCTCGGCTAAAACTAATGGAAGACAGCTTCCCCTGTTTCCTTAGGAAGTTTTTGAGTGAATTGGATTGGCATATCACTATAGCTCTCTTCCATATGGACTCCAGTGTTTCTTTGCCATCCTGAATCCCCAATTTACGTGATTCATTATTGTGACATGCACAAGTGATAAGATGCTTCAAACTCTCACTTGCAGACGAGGTACTGCAAAAATCACCATCTGCAATATAAAAACAGAGCTTGTGCATAAGTTGTACCTCACTTACTTTCCCTAAACTATTTACCCTATTAAATCAATCAATCAAGCAACTGTGCTGTATAAGTTTGCATTTCTCCAATCACTCTCACCTCTTGGGTGAACTGTTCTCTCACATAACCTGAAATCATTTGCATCCAAGAAAGAACATCCCACAGAACTTAACTGTAAAAGAGCTACAGTAAGCCATGTTGTCTGACTTTTAGATGTCCTCAATTGTTTCTCAGTTTCAGAAAGTATTTTCAATGCATGATTAAGTTGCTGCAGACTTGCTTCAGCTATGACAAACAAAATAGAAACGCCTTAGACAATGTAGCACAGAAAACTGCAAAGAAATTAAGATTAGGCTAAGATATATCATAAGCAACCAATAAAATTGTAAATACATATCACAAGTAGAAAATAAATGAAAAGAATTGAAAGGAGAGAATAATTAGATTGAAACTAGAAACTTGAAACCCCTGCATTTGTTGCCATACAGCTAACAAAGATGTTTTATTGTAATGCCTTCCCTTGCTTCTCTCTTCCCCAATTCCCTTCAATGGTTTTAAAGCAGTCATAGAGTCCTTCCAATCAAAGAGGTGGTGGAGGTATCACCACGGCAACAACAATAATTATAGTAGTGAGCATTCATTATAATTGTAGTGATGAGTTTTTAAAAATTGTTGTGAATAGTGTTCAATTAAATTCAATAGAGTGTAAAAATTCGAAAATAAAAGCAGCAGTATAGGTACTATAGCAAGCATAATCCAAGAATGGCAAAAGGGGGTGGGTGATATTTGACATCAAATGGTAAACATTTTTAAATAGAAGTAAACAATCTGTCTTTGACCAAAACCATTTGGGAAAATTACTCTAGTAGTACCCCATCAAGGCATCAGGGTTCTAAAACAAAAACTAGCCCGTAAGTGACGTTGGATAACAACTTTGAGAAAATTACATTCATACCCTTCATTTTTTTGTGTGCGCGTGTGCGCTTATATTTCAATATGTGACTTGTTATTCACTCGCCCTTTTAACCAAGTCAACTCACTCCCTTTCTTCCTGTTGAATACCCAAATCAGCATCTTCTAATATTTGTCTGTCATATTAGGTCACCACCAGGCACCAACTAATGAACCACAACCATGAGTACCATAGCACACTGACCATTTTCTCATAGCTATATCATTTCACAAATCCCCAAATTTCCTAGAAACAGCAACCCCAAAGACCCAACTTATCAATTACTGAAAATTCCACAGCAGAGAGAGAGAGAGAGAGAGAAAGCAAGATAACTTCTGGTGGTGGAGCTGGTTGTGGGGCCAGGCGTATGAAAAGATATAGAGTGCGAGAGATAGAGTGAAACAAACAAGACGTGGGTGGAGTTGGTGGTGGTGATGTGAGGTAGTAGTCCATTGTAGCGGGGCTTGAAGGGGGAGAAGAAGAGAGACAGATGGGTGAAAATCAGTGGTGGTGACATAAGGGTGGGAGAGGGAGTCTAGAAGCCAGTGGGTTGTTCAAAATTAGTGGTGGTAATGTTGGGTGGCAGGCAGTGGTGGTGGGAGGGGTCAACTGAGAGGGCATTGTATTAGCAACCTATTGCAAAACTGGGAGAAGAGAGGGAATTCTATGATGTGGGGTTGGCTGCATTCAAGTGTAGTGAGGTTTGCCATTCTTGAATTAAAATTCTGCTTCTATTATTGCCCAAACAAAGTGTCATTATGTTTTGTCTCTTTAACTAGGTTCGACTCCAATATAGATTTGGTCTTATTCAAGAATACTCAATTAAATAAAAAAAAACTTTGTTATCATATCATGGCGGTGTTTGGGAAGTGAAGTGAGAGGTTATTTTAGCCCCATTCAAGAAAAAAGCCAAATAGCCTCAACAGTACTTAAATCGATTATTTATATTTTTTTTTTTTAAAAAAAAAGAGCAGCCGGCAGTGGGCAGCCTACACTGTCAGTGGGCAGACAGCCTAGTCCCACAGATAGGAAATGACAATTTTAGCCCTTTAGACCAATTTTGGAAAAAGTGAGGTTAGGGATAAATTTGTCATTTCAGCCTCACATCATTTCAAACACATTTTCCAATACAACACAAATAAAAATCCATCCTATTTTCCCAAACACAAAAACTAAAATAACCTACTAAAATAACCAAAAAACCAAAAAGCCTAAATAATAGCCACTTCCCAAACACCCACCATATTTTTTCTTCTAAGATGAGTTTTATCATATCATTTTGGTGGTTTTGATTTGGAATTGGGTAAATAAGGGTTCCTCACCATTCTCGTTAGAGCAGGTTCCTATCCATAAAGACATACATATGTACATGTATATGTATAACAAAGGATAGAGAAAATGAAGATAATATAATAAAAGAAAAAAAGAAAATAAAAGGGTATTAAAGTAATTTTACATCTGCCTTTAAAAGTGTTAGTATTGGCACTTTAGTCTAAAATGAGGACTTTTTCATAAGCATCAGGAGGTGAAGTGCTCTAGGATCATACTACAAGGTGGCAAAATGGATTTTGCCCCTTATTTTAAAGGTGAGGAGGAGTAACATGCAGATTTTTAGGATGCATTTTGTGGTTACAGAAGTTGGACCTAGGTGTGCATAGAGTTCTAGATTGTGGAAACTAAAAGAAAAAGATTTGCATTTTAAAAGATATCGGGTAACACATCGGAGCACACTTGAACTATCTTTATATTTTTTTTTTTACAAGTAACACCTAAACATATACGATGGTTTAAATGCAACTTTCTCATACGAGTAGTTTATAGTAAAGACAACCATTCTTGAGATATGCACATTTGCAATATATATAAGGCTGCCAAATACAATTCTTTTTAAATGAGAAACCTCATCTGGGCATATACACAATTTAAAATTTATAATAAACAATTTCATAACATTGTATAAGATAGTGAGCAACATCTAACAAATTATTCCCTATAGGTAAATGTATGGTAATCAAGTTATGCTACTTTCTTACATCAAATTTGTATTATAGGTACTGAGAGAACCATTTACACAACCGGTTCCCTACCCTCACACTAAATACTTTAATTAAAGAAGCAAAAGGAAGAGAAACTATGCAACATGATGAAAATTGAACACTAAAATGCAATGTGCAGGACAAGAGGACCAGGCTTTTAAGCCCCTAGGAGGCTGGGGCACAATGGAAATGCTACATTACCATATTTCATAGCTTGAGGTCAAATAGCAAATATTCAACCATTTGATAGCAAAATACAGTAGGATTTTTAAGTTGTCAAGAGATGGATGTCTTTGTCCTCAACCTCACCAAGCACGAGTGTATTGACAATAACCAGAAGAACCTATGTATGCAAAAGTCAGTTAAGTAATGACCAGTCATGGTGCATAGCCGGTACAAATTGACTAAAGTTGGGGTGGGCAATTACAATGACTCAATCAAGCTTGTTAATGACTAATGAGAGCCATTGACTAGTTTCAACCACCTGTGCTCCATAGTAGAGTGTACTCAGCTAATTAAAAATTGTGAAGTGTTGGCAAGCTTTTCCCAAATTAGTCAAGGTTGCCAAGACAAAAAAAAACTAAGCTCATATGAGTATTATGATTGCAAAAAAAAAAAAAAAAAAAAAAAAAAAAAAAAAAAAAAAAAAACGCTGGAATAATGTTTATTTACAAATCTCTAAGGTATTTGTATGAAACGAATGTTTACTTACAAGCGTGTCTACTGAAAAACTTTCTTCTAACTTCAGAAGAACCTTCCTGACATTTTCCAGCAAGAATGTCCATTATTAGATTAGCCAGCTGTGATATCAGTTGCATAGGGTCTATCTTTGATCTCATTAGCTCCCTAGCCCTTCTAACCGTATTTGAACTGTCAGATGACAAAGCTAGATCCAATAAATCCAGCAACTCATCATCAGAAACAATTCCAATCTGCAAAAACAGAAGGGAAAACAGTTTTGGATGAGAAGAGATTCACCATAAGCATTAAGTGACAGACACTAAAAACCAAACCCACCAGTTCATATACCAAAGGTATAGTAATTCTTTTTCCAATCAAACTCAGTTGCTCAAGCATCATTTCTGCATCCCGAAGTGAACCATTAGATTTTGTAGCAATGAAATCCAAAGCAACCAGCTCGAACTCAAGTCCTTCTTTCCCACAGATTTTTCCTAGTCTGCTTGCAATATCAGCTACTTTTATCTTGGGAAAATGGTACCTTTGGGACCGTGACACTGCACTTCGTGGCAGCTTATCAAGGTTAGGAGTAATCATTACAAAGACAACATGTCGAGAGAAGTCTTCTAGGTTATTCAAAACAGTTGCCCATGTTTCCGCTCGCAACAAGTGGCACTCATCAATGATGAAAACCTTAAATCGTGAGGAGACTGGAGGGATGGTAGCATTCTTAACAAGAGATCTAACCCTATCCTTGCGATTGATTCTCACTGAATCTACTTCCTTAACATCCCTGCTCCTTCCAGAGAAGAAAAAACAACATTCTTGACACAGACCACAAGGCCTATTCTCCTCAACTGAGAGACAATTCAATGCAGCAGCAAAAATTCTTGAGGCAGAAGTTTTACCTGTACCACGGGGCCCATGAAAAAGATAAAAGGAACTTATCCTTGCATTTAGGATGGCAGTTAGGAGAGACCTTGCAACTACATTTTGGCCTACCAATTCACAGAAGGATTTTGGCCTGAATTTCTGACTGAAAGTCTGGGGAGTCTCTAAACAAAGAGCAATTTCATTATTTCTATGTTTCCTATTCTTTCTTTTTCCAGAGAGAAGTGTCTCATCTACTTCACCTGATAGCAGTGGCTGGCCTTCTACATCAGAAGGAATATTTGATTCCCTAAATCTTGGGGTTCCTGACCAACAGCTTATCCCGCATCCACGGTGATTGTGGTCTACAACATCAACATCTCCGTTTCCAAATAATGATGTGCCACAACTTGACCCTTCCAAAGCATCAGTAATGGACAAGCACGGACTGCCAACACGGCTCACAATGTCACCCACCACTGCTCTAGATGATCTAATTTGCTTTCGGTATCGGGTTTTCCGATTTGAGGCATTATGATGTAATCTTTCTGCCTGTAAGGATCTTTCAGTTGGTTCATTACATGAAACTACCCCTTCCAAACAATCATTGGAAGGTGTGATGCATGTCAAGTCCAATCCTTTATCCGTATAGTCATTGCAATATCTTTCATTCAATGATTTGTTTTCACAAACCACTTCATAATTTGATCCACAATGCTTGGAAGCTACGACCTGCTTGGTCCTCGTTGGAACAGACCTTGTGTTTCCAACCCAAACTGAATTCTCACGTGAAGTTAACTTAGAGTTGCGTTTTTTGAAGCCATTAAGCAGATCAAGATCAGTAACATTTTCCTCCTTTTGACCCTTTAAGCCTAGATCTTTTGGTCCCGAAGCATGTTTATTAGCAATGCCATCTTCTTCACAACTGTTTACAAATCCTAGATTGATCGCATTAATGGAGTTGATATCCCAATTCAAATTGTCAACAAAAGTAGAAAATTTGCCCATGGAGTTAGTTGATGGATCCCTAAGTGACTTCACTCTCCGAAGTGCTAACAAAGTTTTCGAGATAGGGATATCGACTGAATGTCGCCGCCCATCCATCATTTCAAAATTAAGGCCCTTTCAAACACCACCAAATTCAAATTTCAGGACCCACTAATAAGAAATTACATCTCCAACCTGAAAAAAAAAAAAAAAAAGAAACAAAATCACCAAAGGAGAAAATCATAAAGGAACTCAATCATGTACAAAAAGCAGAGTATCTTTCTAGCTTAGATTTCGCAGCAAACCTATTTGGCTAGTTCCATAAAATGGAAACAAAATCAATTAATTCAAAAATCGCCCTAATACTATGTTTGGTTAGGGGATTTGGAAGAAATTTGAAAAAGAAAAGGGAAAAAGTGTATGAAAATAAGTGAAATGTTGGTATATTTTATTCACATTTCACCTACTTTTTCCTTTCCCTTTCCAAGTCTTCTCAAATCCCCCAACTAAACACAGCATAAAACAATGCAAGGATATGGGACCAAGAGATCCAACCCTTGTGCGGAGAGACCTACATAAGGGTTCCAAAGACCCGGATAGGACACTGACCAATCGACCAACCATACAGAACCTTAAAACCAAAACTGAAGCCCTCCCAACCACCAATTAGTTGTTAGAAGAGATAGTGAAAGAAGAGGGTGCAAAGGTCTTAACAAGTGGCTCAAAGGCTTGGAGATGACACAAACAAGTTGATTGTACAGGCCTAAAACCAATGCCAAAGCTGAAGCCCAACCTAACACCAATGAGTCTTAGGAGAGATGGTGGAAGTAGAAAGTGCAAAGATCTAACCAAAAATAAGTAGGAGTCTTTGTTGATCATACTTAAATGCTACTTTAATTCGACAAACAAAATACTAACAGGAAAATACCCCAAAAAATCAATGAAGACATGTTTTTCCCCCTTAAAGAAGCACATTTTTCTTCCTTTTGTCACTGACCATATAAAAACGAAAAAACCGCATTTGGTAACGTTTCTAGTTTATCATTTTTTATTTTTTTATTTTTTTATTGCAGCCCTCTAAAGAAAAAAACAATGAGAAGAGGGGAGGGGAGGGAGACTTGATTCGAAACCAACTAAACATATTTTTTTGTTTTTACATTTTGCAAAAATTATGAAAACTTTCCCATTGTTTTGGCAACAAAAAACAGTTGTCAAGTATCAACATTGTCCAATGGACCTAAAAGCAAAATGTCATCAGCAAAGAAAGTAAAGTACAATGCAGTACCTCCATAAACGCATATGCTTTCTTCTTCTCACCTGTAACAAAGGAGTACAACAGAGAAAACACAAACTCATTCACCAGAAACATACGGATACGAACATAAACTCTACTCATTTCTACAGAGCTCCCCAAAAAATGCAAGAAGCAGAGAGGCCAGGAAGTTAGAGAGAGAGAAACAGTTTCTAGAAATAGAAACACCCAATTGAGATACAAACATAAATACACAAACACGCATTCATGCTATATAAACATAATCAAAAAATTCATATACAGATACAAACATTAACTCTAACCCATTTCTACAAACATACCTTCACAGTCTCCACACACAAAAAATTGAGATACAGGGAATGGAGAGAAAGAGAGAGTTTGTAGATTGAGAAACTTGCAATTCAAATTAATCTAAAATAAACAAACAAACAAATACAAATTCATACTATATAAACATAATATTAAAAAATTGAGATACAGAAAAAAAAACGTAAACTTCACGCATTTCTACAAATATAACTTCGCAGAGCTCAAAAAGAATGGAGGAAATTTTAGAGAGAGAGAGAGAGAGAGAGAGAATCTTCAAAAATTCAAATTAATCCAGAGAGAGACAAATTCATACAATAAAATATAGGTAAAAAACAAACAATGCGAAACGACAAATTTGAAAAAACGCAAAACCTAACCTGCAAATTGAAGAATCGAACCACTTCGAACTCCACAACGAGAGCGAGAAAGGCGGAGCGGAGGAGGAAGAAGAAACCCTAACCCTAGGAGCGAAGTGGTTGAGAGTTTGAAGAGTGCGTAGTAGTAGTAGTAGTAGTAGTAGTAGAGGAGAGTAGAGTAGTAGTAGAGAGAAGAAGAGAGAGAGACGAAGAAGACACACGGGACATAAATGTAATAATAAATGTAGTGTGGGGGTGAAGTATAGTGATTGACAAGCACAGCCATGAGAAACAACTATGCACCGAGAGAGAGAGAGAGAGGCTTTGACGTGTTTATCCAGTAAATTCTTTTGTTCGTTGTGCAGAGATTCTTCAGAGTTTTAGAGAGAGAAAGATAGAAGAGGGAGAGGGGTATGGTCTCGGACTGTGGGCCTTCAAGTTAAGGACGGGTGATAAATGAGTCCAATAATTAATTATTATCAGTTTTAAAATTTTATTTGCAGTTGATTTCGAATTATCTAAATAAATGTATTTTTTTTTTTATAAAATATGAGTTAAATTTGAAGTGATATATTAAAGAGGTAATGTGACTTAAATAAGATAATAATTTTTTAATTTGTTTAGATCATGTCAAATAAGGGCTAAATCTAGTTCCTTATCTTTCCGAATTAATGGCAAACAAATTTTTAATGAGTTGAATTTGAAGAAAATTAAATAAATAATTAATAATTTAAATTTGATTTATTTAGGTGAGAAGTTAAAAGGAATAGAATTCAAATTATTTGGTTGGTTTATTATCACTAAATTTGGGGGCAATTTGGAAATTTTGACTTAGAGGTTGCAGCGGTGGTTGGAGTGATGAGAGGGAAAAAGCTGCAACTGTAACTGTGGTCTGGTGAGGATGAGTTTGCACACTCGCGGGGTTTGGAGCGTGTGGTGCACGTGTGAGAGAAGTACAGTTTTGACTGCGGGAATATAGGGGTGGAAATAAGGCCCGGCTACGTTGGGCCCAGATGGGCTTAGGGTTGGACCGCTCTATGTTTTTATAGGTTAGGCTCAAGCCCAGATCTAGCTCTCAGCTAGTTTAATTTTTTTTTGGTATTTTTTTGTATTTTTAATTGAGATAAATACTACAGTGCCGTAGTGTTGTCAGTTTTTATTTATACAGAACATTAAACATGATTATATTATTTTTGCAAAAAAATAAAAGACTCTTTTGAAAAGTTGACCATATTAATAGGTTATTTAATTTTTGACTATTTTAATAGATTAAAATATTTGTGTTTAGAAAGATAGTTAAATTTTTTTTATAGTTAGATGTAGTACTTGTGAGATAAAAAATAAAATAATATAGGTTTAATTTAAAAATTCATAATTGTAAAGTTAACACTTTAACACAAAATTCATAATTTAAAAAATTAAAAAAAAATTAAAAACAGCCCAAACCAAACAGGCCTGATGTGGCCTGATGTGGTCCAACAAAGCCTCTTTGGTCATTGTCTAAAGATGGTGTGATCTGTCATTTTTACGTTACATGTACTTGGTGGGAGTTCAATTTCAACATCTAATGCGTTTATTTATTAACTGGCTAGGAATTTGGTAGAAAACCTTGCCCTTTTTAGAAATCGTTGATTTTAGTTAATTTTTTAATTTTTTTTATTAAAAATATATAAAAAAAATAAAGAAAATAATATGATAATTTATAATAATATTTTAGTTTTTAAATTATTTTAGTCAAATGTCAAATAAGTTAGGCTTATTTTGGTAATTGATTAAAATAATTAAAAATTCACTACAATAAATTTGACTCTTTTCTTCATTATTTGTACGTCTTTTCGTAAATTTTTTTAAAAAATAATTAAAATTATCAATTTATAAAGTAACACTAGTAACATTTTGTCTTTTAGATAGGTAAGCATAATTTGATTTGATTTGGTTTTGAAAAAAAAATAAAAAATACTAAGAATTATAAAATTTGAAATTAAATTAAATCATGAAAATTGTAGAATCAAATTAAATTGAATAAAAAAAATGCAAATTGGTTCAGTTTGAAACAACGGTTTTCATAAAAGTTGGCATTATTCACAATATAATCAATACTTGCTCAAAGTCAAAAAATAATGTTATAGGTACTAACTAATATACTAACAGATGATGTGGCATAATTTTAGAATTTTTAGGTATTTATAATTTGTATAATATGCAGGGTCAGTAATAATGGCATAACATCAGTTGGTATACTAATGTGTACATTAAATGGTGCATGTAGTATCACCGGGAAAATCAAATAATGTATCATTATTTTACAAATAAAATTATTCAAATGATTGTTAGAATTAATTATATTATTATATAGTAACACTTGTAAGAAAAGAATTAAAATTTTCTAAGAATATATAAAATACTAATAAGATATTTGAGTGTCTACTATAAATAATAAATTATAAAACTATAAAATTACGGCCGAATTGTGAAATATGATTTACTTATTTTACATATTATAACCTAACTATGCATTGAGAAAACTAACTAAATAGTACAATTTGATTTAAACTGGACCAATTTGAATTTTTTTTATTTTTTTGGGTCAACCCTAATTGATAATCACATAATTAAATCACATTATAAAAATGACAAGAAATATGATTTTAAAAACAAATTATTCATTTTTAACACAAATGTGAACTGTTTAAATTACTTAAATGTGTCCATTGAACCCCAACAGTATCTCTCCAGTTGGTCCAACTCAATTATCAAATAGAGAGAAGCAAAAAACTTTTTAATAAATTGATTAAATTTTAAATAATAGAATTAGATGGTGTTTGATAAAATTGGAAGCTGAAAATTAATTATTGATAACTGAAAGTTGAATTTTTTAAGTTAAAAAGTTATTTGATTACAGTTTAAGTGTTGAATTAAAACAAGTTGTTCGATGTATACGAGATTAAATTTAAAATTTATTATTTTCAAATTATATTTTTTAATTTTTATATTATGCTAGTGAGATAGTGATGGTTGTGGTGGTGATAGCAAGAGCAGAAGTAGTAGAAGTAGAAAGTCAGTAGTTGTAGTAATGGTGGAATGGAATGTAGTAGAGGTAAAAAGAGGATAGCAACGATGGTTGTAATTATAGTGGTGGAATGACGGTTATGGTTATAGCAACAGCGACAATGGTTGTAGAGAATAAGGTTGTCATAGTTGTGGGCAGTAGTGATTGTGATGGGGGTAGCAAAACGATATTGATGCTTAAGAAATAATAACAATGATAATGGAGGTAATAGCGTAATAATGGTGATAGTGATGGTTAAGAGTGGTGATGGTAATAATTGTAGTGGTGGTGTGGTTGTGGTGATAGTGATGAAGTTATAATGGTGCATGTCAACACTTATCATAATAATTCATAAATTCAGTCAATATTAAATAAGTTTTCAATTACTTAAAATATTTTTAAATTTTGATTTACATTTTAAGAGTTACTTAAGATTTTAAGTAATACTAATTATAACTATCAAATAAATTTAATTAAATTTTACTTAATATATTTAATTTTAAGTGTTAAATTAAATTATCATATACCAACCTCAACTTAGGTCAGAATATTTGTAACTCATTAAGAGGGTGGCACTCTTCCCGACACAAAGTGCATGCTATTTGATTCTCAAGCCCAAGACCAAGCCCAACCATTTAACATTTGGATTAATAGCCTCAAACGCAAGCCCAGAGACTCGAGGCTCATGTTGTTCTAGATGTGAAACCAACCAACCCCCCCCATATACCCCCCCCCCTTCCTTTTTAATTATTTTTTTATACTTGAAATGCCTCTCACTATAATTCCCTCTCTTTGCACATTTTACCCGTATAATTTAACTCAAATTTTATTTTAATTCTTATTTTTACAATTTAAATAATTCAATCTTTACAATTTAAGTTTAGTTTCAGGGGATGTTTGGGAAGTAGATTTAAGGGTGAAAATAGCCCTTAAACCGAAAAACATAAAAAAGCCAACCTAGCCAATTTTAGGATTAAAGCAACATTTCAGACTAATGGAGACAGGGGGCAAAATGACATTTTTGCCCCTATTTTTTAAGCCTTGTTTGAAAATTTCACCTATATTTGTAGGTTAATTATTTTTTATCTCAACATCATTTCAAATACATTATCCAATACAAAAATTTAACAAAAAGCTAATTTATCTTCCCAAACACAAAAACTCAAATAACATACTAAAATAATCAAAATTAAAAAAAAATGAAAAAATAGCCACTTCTAATTATTTCATTCAAATTAAACTTTAAAATTAACAATTTGGTGACAAGTCTCAATCCATTGAAATATGAAGTGAAAAAAATTGACAATAATTTAGATCCTGACTTGAAATATAAAGAATTGATTGCAACAATTAAAAACATAAAGAGATTAGATGTAAATTTACTTTTTAAATTTTATTTTTATTTTCCTATTATTTTTTTTTGGGGGGGGTGGTGGTGGGGGCGTTGTTGTAAATTTCCTTGAAAGGCAAAAAACATTCCACACCGAATTCATTTGGATTTCTTCAAGGTGAATCAAAGGTTGCATTTGATTCTCTTTTAGAATTATAATTTCAATCAAAAAAATTTACATTTAATCTTTTTTTAAAAAAACTTATAATTAAACATATAACTCAAAATTACTTAAAATTCAATTCAAAAATTATTTTCAAAACTCATAACCAAACACACAATTCAAAATTTTATTCAAAATTCAAAACAAAGCTCTATTTTAAAAAAAAAATCAATTTTTTTTAATTTTATTTTTTAAAATCATAATTTAAGTATGGGGTCGTGTTTTGAGTTTTAAGTTTTGAGTTGAGTTTTAAAAAGATAAAATTCGTTTAGTTATGAGTTTTGAGTTATATTTTGAGTTTTGAGTTGTATTTTAAAAAAATTTAGATTTATTTTTTTAAATATTTAACAAATTTCTTAATTTTATTTTTTTAGGGTAAATATTTATTTATTTTAATGTGCGCTATATTTCATACATTTGTGTGTTGTATTTTTTTAAAATATTAAAAATATTAAAAAATTAAAAATATGTTTTATTTTAAATATTTTATTATTTTGTAAATATGTTTTTAAATATTTTAATTGTTTTTGCTATGTGTTTGATTATAATTTGAGTGCGGAGTTTTGAAAGTAGTGTGAAGTTTTGAGTTATGTGTTTAGTTATGAATTTTGAAAATAGTTTTTAAATTGAATTTTGAGTTATGAGTTTTATTACAATTTAAGTGTGGAGTTTTGAATTATGTGTTTGGTTACGATTTAAGTGTGGAGTTGTGTTTTGAATTTAAAATATTAAAATTAAAATATTTACAAAATAAAAAAAAATTAAACATTTTTTAATATTTTTAAAAAATAAATCTA